GAACCAGGAAAATCATAATTTGAATGAGAAAAGACCATAGATACATACACTGGGGAAAATCATATGTTGGAATTATCTGACAAGAATTTTGAAGCAGTTGTCATAAAAATGCTTTGGCAATTAATTGTAAGCGTGCTTGAAACAAAAATAGAATAATTCAAATAAATACATACCAAGACACATCACAGTCCTGAAAAAGACAAAGCGAGAATCTTGAATGGAGTGAGGAAAAATGATACCTTCCTTATAGGAACAAAACAATTTGAATGGTAGCAGGTTTCTTATCAGAAATCATGGAGGCCAGAAAGGTGACACAACATTTTTTAAGAACTGTCAATTCAGAATTTTAAATCCAGAATAAATATTTTTCTGAAGGAAAGTTAAGAGAATTTATCACCGTCAGACCTACCTTGAAAGAATGATGAAAAGAGGTTCTATAAATAGGAAGAAAATAATAAAAAGAAGGAATATTGGAAGAAAAAAAGGACAAAAAGAAGTGTAAAAATGCAGGTAAATACAACAGACTTACCTCCTTTTGAATTTTTTGAATTATGTTGGTGGTTTCTGTAAAAATCACAACACTCCTTGATGTTCTCAATGTATGTGGAAAAATAGTTAAGATAATTGTTAAAAATGAAGGAGGGTAAAGGAAGAAACATTGTCAATGCCAGCAGTCTACCAACTAATTATGGGTAGATAAAGTTCACTTTTTAGACATAGAGAAAAAAATACATGAAGAGTGTTTATGTGGCAATTGTTCAATCAACATCAGTAGCAGTCAGTGGTAATATTGCTAATGTCCATAAAGATATGCAGCACCAGTTCATTGCTGGGGCCTGAGGAGACTAGATTAAATCACACTAGTTCCTGCTCTGAGATAGATTACAATCCAGTGGGAGAAACAGAAACGACTGGTTGAAGTCTGATGGGGAAATATTCTAATATACAACAATGTGTGCTCAGTTGTTTAATGAACTCATTATGTCCTCCCCCCCAAATCCTGTGTTGAATTCCTAACCCTCAGTACCTCAGAATGTGACTGTATTTGGAGATGAAATGAGACCCTTAAGGTATGCCCCAATTCAATATGACTAGTGTCTTTATGATAAAAGAGAGACAGACACCAGGAGCATGCACACACAGAGAAAAGACCATGTGAGGACACAGGAAGAAGGTGGCCATCTGTAAGGCAAGGAGAGAGACCTCAGAAAAAAAACAAACCTGACAGCACCTTGATTTTGAACTTTTGACCTCCAGAACTGTGAGACAATACATTTCTGTGTTTAATCCAAAAAGTCTATGGTATTTTGTTATGGCAGCCTTAGCAGACGAATATAGTGTTCATCAAAGCATTCCTTATAAAATGAAAATAATAGAAATAATCTAACTGACATATCCATACAATGGTGCATCATGCATCCATAAAAAGTAATATTTTAAAATAATTTTTAATGATGTAGGACAATATATGTGATACAATAGTAAACACATGTGATGCTTCACATTCTTTCCTCTCTGGTTTCAGCCACAATGCAGTGGACACTTTCGTAGAAGTTCTGACAATATCTCCACCTGGATATTGGGCTTCATGTATTTCCACTGTTAGCCCCAAAACCTTTCTCAAAGCAGTGGGCATCCTCCCAACCAACCTGAAAGCGAAACCCAGAAGTACAGGATTGTTAATGACTTTAGGAGCACCCCTTAGCTGATGGGTCCAAGAACTGATGGATAAATATTTTACCTCCCACCCTTCATGTGAACAGACAACTATGGGAAGTTTTCAAGGCATTTCCCAGATATCCTAGTAGAATCAAGGTGCCATTGACCACAGCAAGCCCCTCATAATTCTTTCTGATATTGACCTTCCCTCCTTTCCTGTCTCATGTTCCTGCCCACTCACACCTGCTTCTTGGGATTGCCTCCTGTATTAGTCACAGTTCTCCAGAAAAACAGAACCAACAGGTATTGTACATATAAATATGAGTGATTTATTTTAAGGAACTGGCTCATGAAATTTTGGATGCTGGCACATCCAAAATCATCAGGGTGGGCTGTCAGTCTGGAGACTCTAGGGAAGAGTTGATGTTTGCTGTTCACACATCAACTTTCATCAAAGTTGAAAGGCTGTTTTCTGGCAGAATGCATTCTTGTTCAGGGGAGGTCAGTTTGTTCTATTCAAGCCTTCAACCGATTGGGTGATACCCACCTACGTTATAGGGATAATCTTTTTTACTTAAAGTCCACTGATATAAACAATTTTTCATACAAAAACACTCTCATAAAAACATCCAAATAATGTTTGAACAAATAAATATCTGGGCACTGTGACCCAGTCAAGTTGACACATAAAATCAGCCATCACACTTCCCAAGTAAACTAACTTCACCCAAGTGCTATCTTAGGTTCTGCTTTAGGGTAATCAAACAAATGGTAAATGAAAACAAGCAGGATAAAATGCATCAAAGAAACCATGTTAGACAACTGGAAAGAAACATGGCAAAATCTTAACAGCAGTTGTTTCTAGGAAAGGGAATTATGAGTCACTTTCCCTCTTGTTTTTTTTGTTGATGGTTTTCTGTTTGTGCCTTAATTGTCTGCATAAGCATGCTTTGATAATCAGAAAAAGTGAATGCACACAGCAGATCAATGAAGAATTAAATAAGATAAAAGCAAATTGCTCCTGGAGAATAGAGAGATGAGTGATTTATTGTCCTTGGGGGAATTTAGGAGGACTTGCTGGAAAAGGTGGCACTCAATTTGCCACATAAGGATGAAGGGGGTGGAGAGGGCTAAAGAGGACATTCCAAAGTGGGGAAAGTAGTGTGAGTAAAATCACAAAGATGAGAAAGTAGAAGACAAGGATGGCGTTACCCAGGAGATTAACCTGTAGGGTTTATGAAGGACTTAGGTGAGTCACTATAATTACAGGAAGGGTTCTAGAAGGATATTCTGTACTGGGCAGTGCCCAGAGTAAAAGGCAAAGCATAGATGTGGTTTACAGACTGAGGCCTTAGGACTCTGGTGCTTCTGGTAAGTATGGGAGCCTCATGTTGGGCCCAAGCTTGCAGTGGACATATGGTAATCACAAATGCATTAATCTAGCCTAACTGGCCTTCTATCACAAAGGAAACATATAGGCTCAGTTCTACCCTGACCTAGGTCCCTCCTGCATCTTCCTGCATTTCCTTTGTCCTCCATTCCTTTCTCCTGAGAGTATAGCTTCCCTCTGGGGGAGTATGAATAACAACTTTATTGTTCTCCCCATCTGTTCTCCCCACCACAACCAAACACACATTTTTCTTTTCTCTTTCTCACTTCTTTCTATCACCACATCTTTTTCGCACTAAGACATGCTTTTACCAACTCACATGAGACTCACCTTTAAACAGGCATGCTCTGTCTCTCATAATTTTTATCTCTATCCTTCTATCTCTATCATCTCTATCTCTATCTCTATCTCTATCTCTATCTCTATCTCTATCTCTATCTCTATCTCTATCTCTATCTCTATCTCTATCTCTATCATCTCTCAGTGCTGTGGAAATGGTCCAAAAAAGACTGGTACCAGAGTAAGTCTAAAGATGTGAAAAGGAGTCAGATTGGAGAAAAAGCATTGGAGGTGTGCTTCATTCCAGTAACAAGGCAAAAAAAGTTAGGACTTTGGTACTGATATGCAAGTAAAGGTAGTGATGATCTCCTCTATCCTTGCCCTTGTAAGAAAGTGGGAGGTTTCTTTACTAGAGGACTATGTTGAAAAAGGATCTCTAATAGCACATGAAAAATAGACATTTCTGTGGAGTTGGGATAGTTTGTATCTTGCAAAAGGCTGCTCTGTTCAATGTGCTGAAACAGAAAGCAAACCCTGACACAAGTCACACCTCTGAGCTGGTTTTGCAAGGAATCAAGCCAAACACCAGGCTAAGACATGGAATTCTCAGTCAACCCAGAAGGTAAATTCTCACATAGTGACTTTACTAGGCTAGAGCCACCTGAAAGTTCAGGGAGAGAGGTGAGCAAACAGGGAATATGAGGCAGCCATGAGATTGCACCTCACAAGCCCCCACTGTAAGGGCATCCTTGACCTGGGGCCCTGGTTCTGCCCTCTGAAATCCATTGCTGTGTTTGTGCCAAGGCCATGGGCTGTTCTCAGCAATGACCCAGCTGACATTGTTAGGACCATTTTGGGGGGACACTGATCTCCTCTTCTGCTCAATTCCTGCTTGAGGGCTCCCTGATGGCCTTGCCAAGACTTCCTGAGACTGCGTGATAGTCTAGATCAGGGGTGTCAAACTCATTTTCACCAGGGGCCACATCAACCTTGAGGTTGCCTTCAAAGGGCCTAATGTAATTTCAACTCTTTATCAGCTAAGGAGTAGTTATATTTATGCAGTCCTAAAATTATTTTGGCCCCTCAAGGGCAACTGCAAGGCTAATGTGGCCCCTGGTGAAAATGAGTTTGACACCCCTGCTAGATGTTCCCACAGAACCTTCCCTCCCTCTCTCCTTCACATGGGGTTAGACTTGCACTGTTATCTAACAGATCTTCAGAGTTCTCCAGCCCCCGCCCCATTTTCTCTAACAAATGTTTCCACTAAAAAAGAAATCCTAACATAGTAATCCCATCTTGCCTCTGCTTCTTGAAGGACCACAGCTAATATACCTTGATAACTTCTGTGTTGACACACCAATTAGCTGGGCTCAGAGAAGTGTCTGGGCTTAGCCCTCTACTGCCCCAACTTCTTCTGTCTGTCCAGGATAGATTTTTAGGAGAAACAGGCCAGTGGAAGATGAGAACCATGGTAGAGTTTGAACCCTTATGTTAGCATGTATTCCTCAGCCCAGGGTGATCACCAGTGCCAAATATCACCCCTATTCTATCTAAGATTTATACAGTGTGACTCAAAATTCATTCTCTTTCCTTTCCTCTCACTAATTTTTTCCTTCCTCCTGCCTTCTCCCTGAGTAACCTCAGCCCTTTGACCTTGAGGAACAGAGATTACTCAGAGGCTGGGAAAGAACATTTTTATCATCATCAAAAATTCTACTACCTCCTCTTGCATCACCATCTCCACTTTACTTCCACCATTACCACCATCATCTTCATCACCTCCACCACCTCTACCACTACCACCTCTACCACCTCCAAGGTCATACATGTCTCTATTTCTATCTTCATCACCACTACTATCTCCTCCATTACCACCACCATTTCCATCACCTCCATTATTAACACAACCACTATCAACTCTAACACATCCACTACCATTACTACCACCTCTATCATGTCCCTTACCTCCACCACTACCAATGCCACCACTTTCATCTCCTATCAGAACTTGGACCTCCACCATCACCACATCTACCTCCTCCACCTGTATCTCTACCACCACTATCACCACAATCACCACTACCTTTTCCATGCCTTACAATTTCCTCTACCACTTTCTATAAAACTCTAGAAAGTGTTATGAGCACATTATTGTACCACAACTGGCAATGTGAATGTATAGTAAGACCATGTTTCTAGTGTACGGTTGATCTGGGTTCTATTACTGGATCTATCCCTTACAGGCTATGTGACCTAGACAAGATTTACCTGACTTTGCTAAGCATTTGTTTCCAAATTTGTAAAGTGAAGGTGAGAAAAGGACGGTTGCAAGAACTACATGAGATCATCCACACAAAAGGCTCCAAATGAGCTGTCATTATTACTTGTCGTACCATCAATATCTTTATTCTCACTTAGCAGAAAAAGAAAATGCACTTCAAGGAAGTTGATTAGCTTAGGATAGCAGAGCCATTCATTCATTCATTCATTCATTCATTATTCATTAAGTACCAGCTCTATGCCAGACCCCTAACTTGATGCTAGGTATTCAACAGCACAGAAGGAAGAGCTCCTGACTATAAAGTTTAAACTCTAGTGAGGAAAGTAATCACACAATAGAGGTAAACACTCTGTAGGAGAAATAGAAGGGGCCAAATGGGCTCAGACCAACCTAGGAGTTAGAAAAGGCTTCCCCAAGGACCCAACCTTAAGCTGAGATCTGAAAGAAAAGATTTCACTGGGTAAAGGAAGGGTAAGATATGGGGCAGTCTGTGCGGGGCTCGGGGGGGGGGGTGGTGTTGAGAAAGAGCGTATCTTTGGATCTCTGTGTTTCGCACATTTTTCCATGCAGCACTCTCTTTTCTACCCTCACACTTTCCAAAGCATTTTCACCACCAGCAGTTAATTTGATCCTTACAACAGTTCTATGGGATGAGAATGTTTATTGTCCTCATTTTTGAGTTAAGGCCACTGAGGTTCAGAGAGAGGTAGTGACTAGCTTACAGTCACAGAGCTAACAAGTGGCAGAGCAGGAACAAGCATCCAGGCTGTTGATGCCAGTCTGGTGTCCTCTGCTAGGTACTAGACTTCCCTCTGTGCAGTCAGGGATGGCTTCAGCAATGCTTTCTTAATAGCCAAAAATGCTCTGGGGAGCTTTTCTGTCCATCTCCCTGCCTCCCGAGTTTTGTATTTTATCTGTAGAATAGCTTTCTATCTCTTTCTCTGTCTTTGCATCTCTCTCTCTCTATTTTTATTTTCCATTTTTTCTCTTAATTTTTAGATCAACAACTAAATCATGTTCAGGACTGTGCAGCAAAATGAATGCCATTTTCCTCCAGGCACTGAGGTTTCAAATATTGTCACCCTGGCTGATTCTTCACCACAAGCAAGATTCTGGCCCAGAAGCAGGTTGGGGCAGTCAGTGGTGGTGATATTGGGTGAGTCCTTCAGAAAGGGCAGTCATGAACCCAGCCTCCAGAGAACAAAGGCCTTTCATGGGATTTGCTCCTAAGCAGTCCCTCAAGAGCCTTAGTAGCTTCCAAAGCCTGAAGCCCAGCTCCCACCTGGGAGCTGACTTCTCCAATGGGATTTAGGAAAACCATTTCCCTGGCCATCAATCTTCCCAAACTTGTATCTGCAGTGATCATCTTGGAGATAAAGTAATGGCATCCTGTTTTCAGCCATTGTCAGTTTGGGTGAAATGAGAAGCTGGCTTCTCTTGTCTCTTGACTTCTTGCTCCTCAGCCCTAGAGTCATTGTGTCTGCAGCCAGGCACCCAATTCCAGAGGAGCTGGAAGGTGGGGTTCTCACCCAAGCAAGTCCCCCCCTACCCTACTCCACCCCATATCAGCCTGGCAATTTGTATACTTAATAGTATGACTAAGTGACAATGGCATAACTCCCCCATCTAAAGATAGAGATAGAAAATGTAGTGGCTGAGGCATTTCTTACTTTCAAGCTTGTCAGGACATCCACATGTAAGACCTCTCATTCTCTTTTGGTTTGGTGCTTCATAAATAAGATAGGATATTCTGCCAAATTTAGAACACACTTTTCATCATGCACTGGGAGGTCAGATGGGCCTGGCCATCCTCTCCTGATTCCTGAGTCAGCAATATCCAGCCTGGCCCAGCAGAGAACAGGAAGTCCTTGCACTAACCAACTTGCTTTAGGTCCCTAAAGTCTTCTGAAGCAAGAACAGAGGACATACTTCCTTCAATGACAAACAACCTGAATGCTGATAGCAAGGGCTTCCTACCCACTTGAGTTCTATCCTTCTCCTTGGGTATAGAGAGTAAGAGCAGAGCCTGGGCTTTTGGGTGGTATCCACAGCCCCTGTTAGCTCTTTCTCTCTCTCCTGCCAGCCAAGGATGCCAAACCAGAGGCTCCTCTACCTCTGACAACCAGTGTTTCTTAGAGCTTTGTGTGGCTCTGCCACAAATTAGTTGTGTGGCTTTGGACCAAATCTTTCACCTCCCTTGCCTCTGTCTGCTCTCTGTAAAAGGGCTTAAATGCTGACCATGAAGGCTTTCTGTAGACAATGAGACACATGGGCACATAGACCCCAGTCCATGTCTGCTGGTTCCAAGCTGGAATGTTTCAGAGCGCTTAGTTCAATCTACTGTGAACCCAGAGCAGAAGCACGAACGTTCTTATATGTTAAACTCAGCCCCTCATCTGAATTCCTAAATTGTGTTTCTCATTGCCCACATCAGTCTGGGTTTTCCAAGTTTGGGATCCTGCAGAAGTCTTTTGCCAAACACCTATTTCCTTAGCTTAGTAAATAAGTGATGTCAGAAGGGACATTTCATTTCCATGCATTTCTCTTATGTACATTGAAATCCTCCAAATTGGACCCAATGGTGAAGCCCTGTCATGGATTTCTTGGAAGATCCTTTCCCTTTCCTGACAATCAGCCCCTCTTTGCAAAGAGGCCAGCACCAAAGATCGTCTATCCCTCCATTCATGCCAATCCTGGCCATGTGGAACAGGCTGTAGGTATGGAAGCAAGGTGAAACCTGGCTCCTCCCCAAGGAGTTGACATGGATGTCACCATAGCCCTTCCATGGAGTATTTATAGTTCCAATCAAGATCCCCTTCCTTTCTTGGTGGAACATCTCAAGCTCCCTCTGGAAACAGTGAGTTCTGTCATGGGGATGGACAGGCACAAGGAGTGGGCCAATTTTTCTTGGTTGCAGGCTGAAGAATGCAAGGTACTATTAAGTGCTAGCATAGACATGGGTGAGAGTAGAAAAGACTAGATGTTTCTGTAGAGAGGGAAATGTGTCTATAAAATTTTAGCACAGAAAAAATTAGAGCTTTATTAAGGAGTACTGTCAAGTTGAGGTTTAAATAATTCTATGGAAGCCAGAGATAGCTTCAGTTCCTGAGTCCACAGAAAGAACCTCTGAGGTCAAAGCAAATGGAAAACTCTGGGAAGATGGCGGCTTTACTCTAGGCAGTGTGATTCTCGGCTTCTGTGAAGAGGAGGGAAACTCACGGATCAGTGGAGGAACAGAGCAAGTGGCCTAGGTTACTGAAACATTTTTGAAAACAGGACATCAAAAATTATTGCGATCATTGAAAAACCAGATGGTAAGGAGACTGCTTCAGGACAAAAGGGACCCAGGGATCAACGCGAGAACCAGGGGGGTTGCAGTCCCCAGACCCGGTGCTCCTGGGTCTGCCTCAGGGCTCCCAGAAGAGGGGAGTCGCTGCTCCCTCCCAAGAATATGGGGCTTGAGCCACACCAGGGGAGACCTTGTTGCTTGAATTCACAGAGAGGCCAGTTGGACTGGGGGAAAGAATCACCCAGGGACTGTGAACACTCACCCAGGGACTGTGAACACCCACCCAGAGCCCTGGGAGAAGTGAGGGCCTCCAGCCGGCATGACCAGGGATGGCTTGGAAGAGCACCCGCACCCCCAACCCAGTGGGAGTGTGGATCGGTGGAAAACCCAGACATTGCAGCCCCAGTCAAGGAAAGGGCACGGGCATTCTCAGGTTTCTGGAGCCTGCGGTGCTGAACTGTGGAAGCACGCGCCCCATCGGGAATCCTGACTCTCGCGCTGTGAACCCAGAAGGGACCTAGCGCTTAGGGCATTCCTAGAGCCCAAAACTCAAAAATTTGGTGGATGGGCGCGCCCTTTTATGATCCCCAGAGATGGCACAGTGAATCCCAAAACGTCGCGGGTACTTCCTGAGATCACAGAGCCGGAACCCTGAGGGGACCCCTTAGCCCGGGAGAACGCAGCAGTGAGCTCCGGAGAGTGAGCGTCCTCCAGAGCCCCCAGGGTCCTGTAGGGGAAAGTCAGACTGGCAATGGGGATAGTACCTGAGACACTTACTGAGATTTAGCTGGGAAGAGTGATAAGCATTTCAAACATCCCTCAGCCAGCTGAAGCCAGCAAGATCAGAAAAACTGGTTTAGCCAGTTAGAAACCAACAAGAGGTTTTTCTGTTTTGTTTTGTTTTGTTTTGTTTTGATTTGTTTTGTGTTGTTTTGATTTATGGCTGTTGTTGGTTGATTGATTTTATCTTGTGTTTTAAGTGACTTTTTATTTTTCAATTCTTCTTATTATTATATCTCTCACTCCCTTATGTTTCTCTTCCATTCATCTTAGTATTATTCCTTCCACTCCAAATTGATCTCTCCTGCACTCCATCTTCTGCTTTCTTTTCCTTTTTTTTTTTTGATCTTGCAAGTTACTGCAAATTTTTATTATCTTTTTCTCACCTTTCTGACATTTTTTAGTTTAATAGTATTTTGCTATTCATTTTCTTTCTGTATAATCTTCTTTGCTTGGCTGGTTATACTGTCATTTGATAGGTTCCCCCTGGTATCTCAGCCACAGTGTGTTGATAATTTACTATCCTTCATCTGTGTTCCATTAATACACCTCTCAAGGTTTTATACTCATTATTCTTGTTATCTAGATCTCATCAATTCTGCCACAAGACTCTTGCTTTACTATTACTGTAAATAAGACCTAGTCCATACAATGTAAATACTACTCAACACCCCTACCAGATCTCAGCCCACTTTGTAATTTCCTGAACTATACTATTGTGGGGGTTGTATCTATTCTTTTA